GTCCCCATCTCTCCTCCTCTATCAATCCTTCTCTTCCCTTTTCTCCTCTCTCTCTCTCTCTCTCTATCTCTCTCTCTCTCTCTCTCTCTCTCTCTCTCTCTCTCTCTCTCTCTCTCTCTCTCTCTCTCTCTCTCTCTCTCTCTCTCCCTTTTCCTTTGTCCCTCTTTCTCTCCGTCTCCCAAACAGGCAAATTTCCCAAGAAGTTTTACAAGGTCACGTTACGAAAATACGCACGGGCCAGCAAGGGGAACATAGTCACGGTCACAGTGTCACTACGTGGTTCCTTGTTACCATGAGCCCTGATAGGATGTTAATGGGTGAGGAAAATGGGTGTGATAAAGAAATGAATGCCATAGGTGGCAATATTCATCATGGAATTGATAGTGGCTTGGATGTTATTAATAGTGATGGTGGTGGTGATGGTGAGTGTGGTGGTGAGTGTGGTGGTGAGTGTGGTGGTGGTGGTGGTGGTGAGTGTGGTGGTGGTGGTGGTGGTGATGATGATGATGATGATGATGATGATGATGATGATGATGATGATGATGATGATGATGATGATGGTGATGGTGATGGTGATGGTGATGATGATGGTGGTGGCGGCGGTGATGGTGATGGTGATGATGATGATGATGATGATGATGATGATGATGATGATGATGATGATGATGATGATGATGATGGTGGTGGTGGTGGCGGTGATGGTGGTGATGATGATGTCGATGTCGATGATGATGATGACCCACACACACAAAACCACCCCCAACGCCCACACTTACACACAGAAGCACACCTCTACGGTTCTCCCACAGAAGCACACCCCTACCGCTTCCCCACAGAAATCAAACTTACCACAGGCTTTAATGGTGCACGCTTTCTGTCCATGATTACAGAAACATGTATTGCAATCTTCTTTCCAGTGAGAATTCCCAAAGCACTCGTGAGGTGAACCGGCTATTGGATAGTGGGGGAAATGTTGCAAGACATTGCAATTAAACAGTGTTTTTTTTTTTGTGTGTGTGTGTTCCATGATGCTGTTGCTCATATATATTAAAAATTGGTGTTTCTGCTGAGTTAATGGGAGAGGGAGAGGGAGAGGGAGGGAGAGGATGAGGATGAGGGAGGGAGGGAGGGAGGGAGGGAGGGAGAGAGGGAGGGAAGGAGAGAAATATATCAAAATATATAAATAAAAATGTTAATAATGGTAAGCACGTAATAATGTGCGCAAAAAATATCCAAGAGACAACAATGACATAATAATAACAATAATAATAACATGAGTTAAATAGAGAAAAAATGGCATTACTCAGACACTCATATTAAATACGGCAATACACATAGATTAAGTACAGAACAGAATTTGGCAATAAAGAGGAATTAAATATAGATTAAAAGAACAATTTCAGAATTAAGAACACATAACTAAATATGTGATTCCGAGCATAAAGCTTTTACTGAACATATTAACCGAATGCAAGTCGATTCCCTTCCAGAAACGACGTGGAAATATATTCAAATATATATTATATATATATATATATATATATATATATATATATATATATATATATATATACATGCACACACACACACACACACACACACATATATATATATATATATATATATATATATATATATATATATATATATATATATATAAAGATTAAGAAAAAAAACACATGACTAATAACAAATGGGAGAGAAAAAATGTTCAAAATACTTATAAATAGTTCTTAATTACTGCATCACTCTATCCAAGGTTACGAGTGAGGGGGGGGGCGGAGGAAGCTCATCTGTATGCGGCACAAATGCACATGACACAACATCCGCAAATTTACAAAACCAAACACAGCCATGTCAAACCCTTCTCAAAAACGAGCATATACCCACTATCCACGCACACAAACACATATACACACATGAACCGGACAGGCTCTCTCACATACACATACATAAACACTAATCACTTGACACACGGAGGCTGACATACATACACATACACACTGTAAGAAAATCGTGATAAAGATATTACAGTATTTTTTTTTCTTTTCTTTTTTACATGTCTGTGTAAATCGATTTAAAAATAGAAGGTTTATTCTGCGCTAAAAAAAATAAGAAGAAAATTATGTCAGATTTCTTGTAGATTTAGTTTCGTCTTCGTGAATAAAGGAGCGAGTGATTCGAACTGGTTTCCTCTCACTCGAAGGGAGACATAAAAAAGAATCAAATATATATATATATCTATACATAGATATATATATAAACTTTTCCTTTTCTTTGTATATTCACACAGCTGGGACTTTTTTTTTTTTAATCGCACATTTCGAATCAAACAAAATAACAAGAAAAAGTCCAATGGAGCGAAACAGTAAGGTATGTTAACAAACGAATGATTTTAACAACTCCTATAATCTTCATTCTCATTGGATGAGAAGGCTGCAACCGGGCCAGAAAAGAGTAAAGGAAGAAGAAGAAGAAGAAGAAGAAGAAGACGAAGAAG